CACTCTCGGTTATAAACGCCGTCTTCTCTTCGTCAGCCGGGTGCATCTTTATTTGATTGTAACCTGAATAGGCATCCAAAAAGCTGAAGTCGAGTGCCCTGACGCGCCGTCGATGAGTCGGTCGATGCAAGGGAGTGGATATGTGTCCTTGGGGCAGGCTTTATTGCGGTCGGTGTAGTCGGTACACATTCTCCACTTCCCATTCACCTTTTTAACCAACACCACATTGGCCAGCCATGTGGTGTAGGTGACCTCTCTAATGAATTTTGCTTGCAACAATTTATGTACTCCGGCGTTGGCGGCCTTTCTCTTCTCGTCTCCCATCTTCCTCTTCTTTTGCACAACTGGTCGGGCATCTCGGCACACGACCAGTCGGTGGCATAGGAACTTGGGGTCTATCCCTGGCATGTCAGATGCCGTCCATGCGAATAGGTCTTTGTTGTTTCGAACCGCTCGTTTCATCAGGTTCGAATCGGCTTCGCTCAGTTGGGACCCCAAGTGCGTGACCTGTTCGGGTGCTTGGCCAAGCTGAAAATGGATGAGGTCTTTAGTAGGCTCGATTCGCTCTTCTTCGCCTAACCGAGGATCGAGGTCAATGCCCTCCGTTATCTCCTGTCTGATCACGTTTACACCTTTCGTTGTCGTCCGGGGGTCGACAACAGGTCGTACCTTCAAGCTAGAGAGGTAACATTCTCTCGCCGTCTTCTGATCGACGTGAACGGTTATTACCTGACCATCTCTCGACGGGAACTTCATGCATAGGTGAGGGGTTGACACAATGGCCCCCAGTGCATTGATAGAAGGTTGGCCTAACAGGATGTTGTACGACATATTCGCATGCACTACAATGTAACGAATTTTAATCTCGCGGGAAGATTTTTGGTCGAATCCGAAGCGAGTGTATAGGTCGATGCATCCTCTCGTCATCACTCTTTCTCCTGAGAATCCTACCAGTGGTTCATGATAAGGTTCTAGGCTTTCTTCCGGGATCCCAAGTTGTACAAACGTGTTCCAATACAGGATGTCGGCAAAACTCCCTTGGTCCACCAAGGTTTTCTTCACAATGCAATTGTGCATTTCAACAGAAATTACCATGGGGTCGTCCTGAATGGGATCGACGCCTCGGAAATCTCGGTCTGAGAAAGTGATCGGAGGCATCTTCGGTGTCCTCGGTTGATTCACACTATTTACTGATCACACGGCTCAGAGGTGTCGCTTTCGTGCGGAAGATGTGGAACCTCCCCCGGCGAAGCCCCCGACTATTGTGTTTATTATTTTCCTTGGTCGGTCATTATCTTCTTGGGAATGCCTTGAGTGGTCCCTTCTTTCAGCCGATCAGGATCGGCGGCATCGTTCTCTCGGTGGTGGTACTTCCCGAGAGTGATGGTCTCTCCCCCTTGACTAGTAGTCTCGGGTGGTGACGAAGCTCTTGAGGTGACCTTGCTTGATAAGGTCTTCAAGCTTGTCTTTTAGTGCTGAGCATTCTTCCGTCGAGTGCCCCCTGTTTCGGTGGAATTGGCACGTCTTGGCTTTGTCGGCTCCAGGGGGTGTGTTCGCCCTTTTTGGCATCACAAGAATCTCTGATGCGAGGGCCTGCTACAGTACCTTAGCCCTACTCGTATTGAGGGGAGTATACGCCGTGTAGCGTGGTCCCCTTGGTGGGCGAGCGTTTAAAGGCTCGGCATTCTTTTCACCGGCTCTCGGTCGGGTTCCTTTCGGCTGTAGCCCTCCTCGGCCCTAACCTGGTTTCGGGCCTCCGCGAGTTCCTCCATTTGCATATACTTCTCGGCTCGGCGTCGGAGGTCGTTCATATCAATGGGTGGTTTCTTGCACAAGCTGTTTACGAATGGCCCGGGTCTCAGGGTGGTGCTCAGCCGGTCCAACGCCACGGCCGGGTTAAGATCGCCTATCTCCATGGCGATCTTGTTGAATCGGTCTATGAAGCTTCTCAGACTTTCCTTCTTCTCTTGACGAACCCCGCTAAGGCTAACGAGGTCGTCTTGTACGGCTTGCTTGTCGCGAACTGCAGAGTGAATTGGGACGACAACTCGTTGAACGAGTCGATGGAGGAGCTTGGCAATCTCGTGAACCAACTCAGAGCCCTTCCTTTTAGCGATGTGGGGAATATTCGGCACAAAGTCGAGTCATCTTGAGTGGAGAGGGTTGCCTGTGTCAGGAAGACGTTTAGGTGTTCATCAGGGTCGGTAGATCCGTCTTACTTCTCGATTGGAAGGCTCTTCCAATGGTCCAATAGGGTTGCCTCCATTATCCTTCGTGAGAAAGGGTGTCTTAGGGAGTGAACGCTGGTGTCGGCCTTGTTGCCTATCAAAGAGGTGACTGGTGTTCGGGTGACCTGGTCGGTTGGGGCATGATAGGCTGATTCTTCTAAGAGTGTGGGAGTAGACGACACGTAAGTTTGGTTCAGGCTCCGGAGCTCGGCATTTTGCCGACGTAGCTCGGCCAGCTCCCGGGCATCGGCTTCTCTCTGTCTTCGGATTGCTGCCATTTCCTCGCGCAATGCGCACAAGTCATCTTGGAGGTCGGGTTGGGCTCGGTCAGTATTCGGCTGGACCTCTTGTATCACAGGTTCCGGTTGCGTCTGAGGCATTCAGTACAGATAACGTTCTTGGTTGGTCATGGCGGGATTGTTCTCGGGGTTAGGGATCGGTTGGGTCGTTGTTGATTGTCCTTTGCATGTTACTACCATGCCTTGGTCTCAATCGTAGAGTTCAAAAGGGCTGAAAATGGCTCTTCAGCCCCACGGTGGGCGCCAAATGTTCCTGTGTTAAGATACACACTTCAATTATCCTTATTGTAGCGGGTCTGGTCTTGGGTCTCGGTCTTCTCGTTCCAATCCGGGTAGTCCGAAGTAAAAGAGGGGGTGCCTGCAAAGACACTCTGACGCTCAAGTAAGTGCTCGGCGTAATAAATGCAGTAGTTCAAAAGTGAGTTACTTACCTCATTGGGGTCCTATTTATAGTGGTTCTTGTTGGGCCGTGATTATGGATTGAGCCCCGGGAAATTAGGGGGTTAATCCGACGCATTATGTTAATTAAGCTCTCCGTAATCATCCTAGCGTAGGTGCGAAACTTGGCCGAGTCCACCGACGTGTTACATTCGATTTGTGAGTGGTCGGTGGGTTCGGGTATTCGGTCCGGTCATTCACGTACTCGGGTATTCGGCCGGGTCGGCCACGTACTCGGGTATTCGGCCACCATACGATATACTTTTACTTGTGCAATCTTCTTACGATAATAGACATTACTATTACACTATCATTCAACATATTCAAGAATCGCAAGCTTTGAGTTGGCAAGTGCAACTTCAACATATATTGAGAGAAGGGAATAAATGTTTAAATTATATACAAATAAATACTATGTTCGAATATATAAATTATATTAAAAATTTGTAAAAACTAATATTTTTAATCATATAAATTATTTTTTAGATTTATGACAAATAATTTATATTATAGTATAAAATTATTTTATTTAGTGATAATTTATTTTAAAATATTAAAATTTAATTCATAAATAATTATGATAAATAAAAATTAAATTAGATAAAAAGTAAAAGGTACTTAAAAACTTTCTCGTTGAAATAAAAATACTATCGTGAAAGATAACTATTCATATTTAATATAAACTCCTTTGATACTTTATATCAAAGGATTCTATGGTGATCTTGGCCTACTAGATAATACGAAGGCAAAATTATTAGGTCTACTATTTGGGTTGAATTCAGCTTGAAAACTTAGATATAAGGATGTTTTGTTTCTCTCAAACTCCTCATATATACTTTTACATGTGCAATATCCATGTGATAATAGACATTGCTATCACACTATCATTTGGCATATTCAAGAACGGTTAACTTTGAATTAACAAGTGTAACTTCAACATATAATGAAAGAAGGGAATAAATATAATAAATTTTTACCTAAATTAAAACTTTAAAGTGTATAACTACATGAATGAATAATCTAAGCACTAAGTTTTACCTATAATTTTTTTTTAAAGTTTTACCTATCATTTAATTACAAACTTTCATGTATATTGTATAATAATTTTATTATTTTTTATAATGATTATATTAAAAGTTACACTAAAAATATAACTTTTTATTAATTAACTATATACACGTTTTTTTTCATTAACAAGACATAGGCATTAAACTCATAATTACAATTAAGATATACTTTATAATATACATTTTTAAATAAATAATATAAATATAAAATATAAAATAATATTTATTTACACAAAAAAATATTATTAATATTTTGGTGTGCATGAAAAATCTTTTATGATAGTTTTCTAAAATTGTATATTATGAAAACTATACAGGATCTTGAATTTTATGGTTCTCACTTATTCATATTTTATTTGTCTTGTATGTTTTTTGAAGATGCTCCTTTTGATTTTTTTCCTCCCCTTTTCCTTTCTCTGTCCCGTCTCCTTGATGGTCAAGAGATTGTACTTTTTATAAAACTATTTTTTTTTTATAACTTTTCTATTTTAAAATTTAAAAGGAAAATGAGAGGGATTACTCAATTAACCCTTCCGACTTTATTTCCATGTTGGACCAATAACCATCACATTGAACCCACTTGAATTAAAATGGAGCTATTAAATTACATGGGCTACATTATTAAATTAATATAAAATTAATCTAACAGTGCACCCTAAGTATTCCAAATGATTGTCTAAGAGTAATTTCCTTGGATACATTACGAAAGTTAATTTTACATTAAAGTTATAATTATAATTAAGATATATTTTATATCCTTAATTTTTTTAGATAAATAGTATAATACAACATATATAATAATATTTATTTAGACAAAAAAAGTATTATTAATATTTTGGTGTGCCCCGTATATATTCCATATGATTGTCTATGACCAATTTCTTTGGATACAATTTTTTTTTTTGTCTTTTTCAACAATTTTTTTTTTCATAAGCATAGATTAATATATATAATATATAATCTATGCTTTGAGAATGGTTTTGAACCGAACCGCATTGGTTTGAAAAGCATCGTCACGTGGGATTTGTCGAAATGGAAATGAAAATTGCAAACACCTTCCTTGTTCAAGTTTGAGGTCCAACTTAGCTCCCAATTCTCACACTCTTATGGATTCTTCTTCTTCTTCGCCCCAGGTTGGTTTCATCAATTCCTTTTTTTCTTATTCTTTTTTTTCGATCTCTTTATTAATTTATTTATTTATATTAGGATACGGTGCGAAATAAAAAAAAAATATTGTTTTTATTTTTGTTTGTGACTTTATTATTTTGTCGATTATTATCTCTTCCTCGATCAATTGTTAGTCAAACCATTATTTCTGTTATATCTGTGTCTGACTTAGTGTTCGAACTAAAACCCCGAATCGATGCTGTGTTATTTCGTTCATTCCATTTCGTTCTTGTTACATATGTAGTGGCTTGCGTTTTATCTCTTGGAGTGTATGTCTATCATATTTTATGTTATTATTATTATTGTGATTGTTTTACTTGAAGTTATGTTATTTGATGTGGTCCTCTATGATATACTTTTGCTACTGTATTAGCAAAATTCAACGTAAATTTGAATGTTAAATTGCTTTATGACAAAATCAGGTTGTTAGGAAGCAACCTGGGTGCTTTGTTCTTCAAAACCCTATTCATTTTTTGAGAGAGAAGGATTTGGGATTACCAAGTAAAGGAATGAAACAGGATCAATAGGAAATTGCCCCTTTGGAGCAGGGGGTAACTAGTTAGTTAATTGCCCTTTTTGTGATATGAGATGTTGTTGGATGTGGTTGGTAGAGAAGGTAAAGAGTGGAGAACATAGTGAAGGTGGGATTGTATAGAAAGTTTTTGTTTTGAGTCCTTTATTGTTAGTAGAGGGTGGAAAATGATGAATGCTAACTTACATATTTTGGAAGGAGAGGCAAGAATGAATTCATATTGACTTTGGGCTTGTTTGGGTAAACTTCTCCCAAAGTCCGTCTAGGAGAGAAAAATGGGAAGGAAAATAAAATAAATTTCTCCATAAGCTAAAATTAGTCTGTACATAAGCTAATTTGTAGAAGCTTTCTCCTATTAGCTTCTCCAAAATCTTATTTTTGACTCATTGATTCTTAAAAGTTCCCTAAATCATGATGGAGGCAAGTTGGCAGATGGATTTTAACCCTTTAATTTCAAGCAATATGTCATGCTTATTGTCAAACCCTCTGCCCCCAAATGAAAAGCACACTTCAATTAGATGCAAATGTGAAGAAAATATCTGAAACTTGGGATTTGAGTTTGCTTATTTGTAGGTAGTTCCTTTAGCAGTTAGGTTGAAGCTCCCTAATGTATTAATACTACCTCATTCCTAATACTACCCCCAAATGAAGATCCTTTCAACTAATTTACAACTTTTAAGAAATCTGGTTAATATAGTTAGTAGCATTAAACCTGTCAATAATTTAAACTAATTTTCTAAAATTTCCCTTTATATTTTTGAAATAAATTATCTTTCTTTCTACTTAGTTTCTTATTACCTAATTAATTAATGTTTGGAAAGAGAATATTAATCATCTAAAAATTATATGTTTACTCATTTTTTCCAATCCTAATCAGAGAGAGGAAAAGTTTATCTTATTAATTTCCAGAATTTATTTATTTTTTCCTAAAAATATGTTAATTAATTAAGAGTACTATAGGAAGAAAAAATAATTAATGCAAGAGATAATTAAGAAAAGGGTCTTGTATATAGGGAGGAAAATAGTATTATTTATCACAAAGAAAACTTGGATTGTATGATTTTTGGATGTGATTATTTTTTATTTTTGTTTCTTGTACATGTAGATGGAATTTCTAACTTTTTTGGAATTGGTTTGATTTTGGATGTCAAAATTACTTAGACCTTATGATTTCTCAGTCTCAGTCATTTAGTAAATAGATGACTTCATGGCTGTTACTGCTTGCCTTTGTTTTTTCCTCTACAGTTTGAAAATTTTGTAGCTTCCTTGGTTGCTCATGTAAGTCACATATAGGAGCAATATGTAACTGAGGCTACTGAGAATTATGAGACAACGTGCTGGGGTTGTGGACTGCGTGTTTTGCTTCAATCGTATGCATCTGCTTTCAAATGTGGCTGGTGTGGGGCCATTACAGATCAGAGCAAACAGAAACGTGACCAGAAATGCATCAGGTGGAGAGTAGTGCGTGATCGATGCTTTGTTTCTGTTGTCCTCGTATTTATGTCTTTTGTAATATGTAAGTCTCTGTTGTTCGTGCTGTTTTCTGCTTTTATTTGTTGTAATCATTTATGACCAGACTTTTTATTATATATTCCTCAGGTTCTTTGTGTTATTTTCAAATTTACCATCCTTTTTCCATTTTACCCCTCTTCTTGATAACATATTTTATCAAATATCGGTCTAGTGTCAGAAGTTAGATTGATACATTTGAATTGAGAATTGATGTCTGTTAATGTTTTCTATAACCTCTTCGAAAAATGGATTGCATTATTCTATTATTTTCTTATACATATATTCTTATGTGCAGTTGGTGGGGTGTGGGCAGTTTATCCTGTTGTCTTTTCTGTCAGTATTCTTTGTGGAGTTTTTCACTCAATCATTACAGCAATCTTGTCCATAGCTACCATTTGTTTCTTCAGCTTTGCATCATTTAGATGTGCTGGCACGCCACCAAATATATTATGGGGAAGCTACCCCACTGTAGGGAAAGATGACCCTGACAATTATACTTTC